TACAACACACATAGCAAAGATCTGGTGGAAGGTTTTCAAATTCCCTATTCAAATTCCAAAGCAGCACAAGTTACAGTATCACTAATTCCGTTTTTTTGCCCTGTAGGGAACATAAATCAAGTTGAGTAACTTGTTTTTTTTCCTACATATATTAGTATTTTTCTTTCTAACCAAGTTCGAGCTCGAGCCTGAACCAAATATATGTGTTCTAGCTAAGTTTGATTGATTTTGTTAACAAATCGAGCTCAAACTAAATTTTAATAAACGAATTAATTAAATATTGAGTCGTTTAATTTAATTTAAGTTTTAACCCCTGCGTATATAATGTTTTTTAAATAAATTTGGAAAAATGTAGAATACTATTTTATTTTATTTTATTTAATAAAAGAACCCGCAGCCAACCATACATGTACAATGGATAAACTTACACTCTCGTATAATAGTTTGCAAAACCATACGGGAGATGTAAACCACACTAGACTAACTATGTGTGACAAAATCGACCTAGCGACATTTGATAAGGGAATTCGAATTTTGAACCTGAATCAATTGATATATGCTCACTTACTCCAAGCGCACGCCATCCTTGCACGACAGAACACTATTTTCTAGTAGAGTGGAACATTGACTGATTTTTTTTGCTGATGACAGAACCAAATTTATGGGGGACAACCTGAAGTTAGGTTGTCTATTTATTTTTTGTCAATTCAGATACATCAATAAATAATGTATCTAAATTATTTCTTACAATAATGTTGTTACCTACAATTTGTCATGCCACACTCCTTTTTGCCCCCACAAATGTAATAGATGGAACATGCATCCAGTTATTATTCTTTAAATGCCATGAAATTTCCATCCCCACTTTTGACCTTATATCAATCACCCCACTTATTATTCAGTCGTGCCCACCAATTTAATTAATTATATTATTTATTTCTATTTATATATATATTTTTTTTTAATGTTTGATATTATCGTGGCACATAATAGAACTTGGAACCAGATAGTCTTTTCTCCAGATTTGTCGTTTCGAAAAAAACTTTTCAATTATTTAATTTGGTTGGTTCTCACTTCTTAACTTTTTTATTTTTAATTATTGAATATTGAATTGAGAAGCCGCAATAATGCTGATCAGATGTCGATTGGGCACACAATAATATTTTTAGCCCACCAGGATAGATAATGTTGAGAATCACTGTCACCTGTCCGATAGTTTTAACTTGAACGTCGGAAGACGATTGTCGAGCCACCCTCAATATGTCGTGTTTTCAGTTGTTTTGTAGGTTAACGAGCAGATCTGCATTCTTGTAGGTTCAAATATTCTTGGGTCGCCCAATCAATTTTTGAACAACGAGTGGAGTCCTCCTTTCGAGTATCTCAGGCGCGTGACGATAAATCTTCGGCATACTCTACTCTTGCGGGCTCAAACACTCTTGAATTGCCCAATCGACAATTTAGCAGCAATGAGTAGAGTCGTTCCTTCAACTACCTCGGACACGTGACAGTGACTCTCGCATTTTCTATCCTGAAGGGCTCAAAATTGATAAATCTACATTTGGGCAGCATCACGCAGTCACTCAAAGTGTTTTGAATAACATCACACTTAGTTATTGTAAATAATATTTAATTAACTGTATGTGACAAGCTCAATCTAATAATTACAGATAAAATGATTTAATCTCAAATTAAATAACACTGCATTTTCTTCTATCTTCACCAATTAAAGTGGCATAATTTAAAATTTAAGATTTTATTTTAAACTCCTAGCCCCACACAAGGACAAGAGATAGACGTTCACAATAAGACATAATTCGGTTGTTAAATGTGAATGTACTATTAACGTGTCTTTTAGCTAATCAGATTGTTTAATTAAATTAGATATAAAATTAAAGCGATTAAAATAAATAAAATTGAAAAAAGTTGCTGGTTAAGAATGACTGCTATTTTGTTTTGTTTCTTTTACATAACTAAAAGATTGTGCATTTAAAAAATTA